GATCTTGAGTCGATCTTAACAATAGCTGATGACTTTTACCAACTTAATAGTATTCTAGTCAACTGGAATAAATTCGTATTACTTTCTTCAGTACTGATAGCATCATCTATATATTTTAGACTAGCACATAATGAAGAATAGATTAAATCTATGAACCTCAAATCATCTACTTGTTATCTTGGTATTTGGATCTCTCTTCTTCCAAATTGCCAGTTCATAAGACAACAAATAAAGAATGAAATTCAAAACGCTATCTTGACAATAAAAAAGAAATTCCTTACAGATAAATAACTCAAAGTAGTCTTTAATTCAATCCTCTTGCCAAGAATTCTGTATCGCATTCAGTTAATATTTCTTGACTACAAATTCTGTGATCAAATCATAGGTTCCTATCGAAAAGTTTTTAGGTCAAATCTACATTTATCTAAAAGTATCCCAGTGACTATTATTCATTCATTGATATTTTACAATATTACATACTTGTATACAGCACAAATTCAAGCAAAAACTTTCAACTTCATCAAAGCTATCAATGACAAAGATTTATTAGGTACTACATCTCTGATCCGCTCTAGATTACTTCAAAGTAATGAATGGTTTATTAAATCACCTTTAGCATTTTGGCCATATGATAACTCTTTCAAATTTAAAGACTGGTGGTCTGCTCTGCTCTCTGTCCTAAATTCACTCAATATCACCATCTCTAATAGCAATACTGAGGTTAATTGCATAAAAAGAAGACAATTTCCCTGTGTAAGATTTTCAATAAAACTGATTATTGCACCTTTGCTTCAGTCTTAAGAAGCAAACAACTTATGTTTCTTGATCAGATTACAACATCAGATAGTGCAGCACTCTTCACATTACCTGACCTCAAATTTTCAGCAGCTCGTCTGGCAATTCCCAAGACTCCTGCTTGGTTTCTCAAATTACAATTATTGCTCATTTCATCATCTCATACAAGAATCATTCCTTTAAAATATCATCACCTACACACTAATAATATATACTCGATTTCTCTGACCTATATTAAAAGTACCACACACTTTGCTGTAGGTTGGCACTTAAATTTCCATTCTGCAATAATTAGAAAGGTACTCAGAATCGAAAATGATATAGTCTACTTACAACATTTTAATGCATCGCCAGACTATACTTTCAAAACTTTATTGTTACTATACACTAAATGTTCTCTCAACGATGATTCTTCTTTTGTTTCTCCTAATATGAGAAACAAACATGAAGCTTACTTTGTGATTTTTTTTTACACCTATATGCTGACATCAAGGCCCCTCTTCTTCCAACTGTTGGTCATATCTGTTCTTTGTCCCCTTATATGCTTTATGAAATTGCTTTATATAGTTACAATTTAATTGATAATAGTACACTTAATATTCCCCCACCTTGTCTTCTCTATCTCTCACACCCAACCAAATTTTTAATATAGAAATCCTCAATAGTTTAGACAATCTTAAAATTTATTTCATATAATCAACTAACCTCTCATTTTATACTGATGGTTCCCTTATCAACTTAGGTACTTCTTCGATCTGTATGAGTGTGGCCTGGTTGCAAACTGATCCTTCAGAACCTTTACTTTCCTTTAATGCTTCACTTATTCTTTCTCAATCTTCATTTTCTCTAGCAGAACTAGTAGCGGTACTATCTGCTATATATGTAGTGCCTACAAATGCTACTGTTAATATTTTCACAGACTCACAAAATGTCATTTCATCTTTTGATAAAATGAACTACTTTTATACTTTCTCTTCTACCTTTAACCCTATTTTTAAGATCTCCTTTTACCTAATTTGGTTCCTTATCATAAAGTTAATCAGACAAAAATCCATTTTCATTGAACTCCACAAAGTCAAAGCTCACTCAAATGATCATTATAATAATGTAGTTGATGCATTAGCAAAAGCTGATGATCTCCCAATCACTCTAAATAACAAAGTTCTAGGATATCATTATAATCTCTACTTCAACGAGGATATTGTTCTCACTCTACCAAGATTGTTCATGAAAGACCTTCTCAGATCAATCGATTTTCATAATTTGCTACTACTTTCACACTTTAAAAAATACAATATAATGGATATTGATTGGATTCAATCCTCCTTCATTCTTAACGATAATGAACACAACTTTTATATATCCTTCAAAGCCTCCTCTATTTGTAAATTTAAAACTAAGCTCATGCTTGAACTACTCCTTACCCTTGAAACCTCAAGATAAGACACCCAAATCTATACAACCAATCATGAAATTGTCCTAGATGTTCGTGTACTTATGAAATCTTTAATCACATGTGGACTTGTACTAAAATTGAACACTATGTCATTGACATTATATTCTCGACCAAAGCTTTTTCATATAACATCTCGTTGCATTGACCTTAGACATTCAGAATTTTATGGATCTCTTAGATTTGAATATTTGATCTTTAATTGATCAACCTAACTCCTTTAACTTTATTGACTTGATCAAAGGAATTGTATCCCTTTCCCTATTCAACAAAATATACTGCCTTATTAATAATCTCCAATTAACAAATGGTCTCCTGTTTTTTACTTACCATCATGCATTTTCCCAAATAAAATCCATCTGGCTTGATCGTTATAATGATATCAAAAATTTTGAAAATCTCAACAACATCTCCCTTAATGATCGAAAATTACATTTTATCAACACTGACTTTCCTTCATCATCATCACATGCTTTTATTATTCCTTCATACTTTATTTCCTCCTTTAGATTTGGTACGAACTGGTCGAATTTTTAGATCAGTAGTAACCACGCCTCCTATACTGGATGGTTGAACCTATTTGAAGTCGATTTGGGTAGGTTAATCTGGAACAGTGCAAGGTTGATTTTGATTTAGTTTTATTGCTAAATAGAAATTTTTGTACTCTCTATCTTATAATTTGTAATTTTGTAAAATTTTACTTTACTTCTAAATAAAGATTGTGCAAAGCTACCGCACGTTAAAATATAAAAAAAAAATTTATAATAAGTATTGTTTAAAAGATTATGAATTTAATGTTAAATTAAGTAATAGATATTTTAAGCTTTAATTATAGAATAATAGTTATTTAAATTTATAATTAGTTAAAGATAATAATATTTTATTAATTATATTTTATTTTTAAAATATTTTAGTAGATTTTTTTTTTATTGATTTACAAAATTAAATGAAATTTGAAATTAAACTATAGAAATATTATTTCTTTTTATATTAAATAAAAATTTGAATTAATAAATTATTTATTAAATACAAAAAATTTAAAATTAAATAAATACATTTATATAAAAAATATAATATTAAATTAATAAGTTAAGTTTATAAAAATATTAATATTAATTTATAATTTATTTTGAAACTAATAAAAATTATTAATATATTTTAAAAAATAATTTTTGTAGCTTTAAGAGACTATTAAGACAATTTGTCTAAAACTTTTTAAATATATATTTTTTAAAATAATATTTTAAAATATATTGAATAATGTATTTATGCTATTTGACTATTAATTTCATATATTTGATAGACATATTTTATCATTTAAAGATGAAATGATATATAAATTAGTGATTTTGCCTTAGAAATAACCAAATTTATATTATAATCTGATTAAAAAAGTAGTGTAATTAATAGTTTAAAACTTAAGGAATTAAAGTTTATCAATTATAATATAACTCATTAAAAATTTTTTAATAATATTGGATTTCAACTTTAAAAATATTACAATTACTCAATTATAAAGTATAAAAATTATAAAAATGATATTTTTTATATTAAATTATTATTTTAGAAGCTAGTAATTACTGGTTTTTAAGATTACAAACAAAAATAAAATTTTTTCAAATTATTTATTATTATTAATAATAAGCTATCTAGTTATATTTTGTTTATATTAAACAGTATATCTAGCAATTTAATTTTAAATTGTTAATATTTTTAAGATATCAATTTTCTTTAAACTACCTTTTTTTGTTAATTTTATAAGTTTATTTTATATTTCTTGTGAATTATATTTATCATTTATATTTAAATTTTCTGCTAAAAAGTATTTTTTCAAAAGGACTATAACAAGCTTACTAATTCTGTTACCACTTTTCTATTTTTCAAATTTTTGATTTTCCTTTAATATCTAATATAACTTGAGCAAAAATTTCTAAATACACTTTAATCTTATAATAAAATTAATTGCAATGTTTGTAAAAATACAATTACCTAGCAAATCTAATTTTATTTTATTATTTATCTGAATTTAAGATATTGGTAAATAACATTTGACTTTTTATAATAGTATTATAATTAGTTAAGTTTTCTTGTTAATTTGAACTAACCTGTTTTTTTTATTTTTTGAAATAAAATATTCTCTAATAATAATACTAATCACATTTAATTTTATGCTTGATAATTGATTTTTAGTTGATCTATTGATAAAGCAATTAGGATATATTTCTAAAAATAATATCTTAAACATTTAATAAATATGATAGTTCAGTTTTTAAATATACCTATTAATATATTTTGCCAAACCTTTATCTGTCACATATTGAGCATTCATATGGGTTTTTCAAATGAGTAATGTAGGAGTATAATAAGATACAACCCATCTATCAAGCTGATTAAAATAAAGGATTTTTTTTTTTAATTCAAATTAAGATTAAATTTTAAAAATACAATAAAAATTTATAAATAAAAGTAAACCTTATTTTACTAGTATATCCTAAAATTAATTATAACGTTTTTATTAATTTTTATAACGTCTCTGTATAATTACTGAAATTGGTGATTACAGTATATGGAGGATATAGCAAATGTATCATTTTTATTGATCGATTACAGATCACATGATTTAAATCGCCAGAACAATTCTGATTTATGATTGACTAAAGACTATCTAAAAAATTTTTTTTTTATACTTATAAACCAAAATGGACTGAAATGAGATTTATTTTTATAAATTGATTTTTAATTACAAATTTCTTCACACTGATGATACAGGTTTTATACGCAATTTACTACCACAACCCAAAGAAACGACAGGATAAACTTGAGTAGGAATATCATTCCATCCATATCCGGAAACCACAGGCTTTTTAATCCCATTGATAGAAAATGAGCATTCGCACTTTCTCCTTTTATCAACTGTGCTTATATTCAGGTGAATAGTAACATTATCCCCTACTTTCATCTTTGCATCATACCATTTCCAATCCTTTTTACGATAAACGTAACCATCAGATCCAAGGACCCACCCATGGTAATTTTGTTCAGTTGTACTTAAATTCTCATCACCACATATACCAATATAAACTATTTCGCCCAATTTTTCAATTACGATATTCCATTCATATTCTCCAAGATTTTTAAATATCATATCTCCCAATATCGATTTGTGTACAGGTTTTTGTTTTGTATTGCTAGGTTTCATCATCTCAACAGTAGATCTATCATTGGAAAAAATCAATTGTGTACTATTATTATTCCATTTAAAAGCAGGTACTCCACGAATATTTGCTGATTCCTTGTCCCTTGCTT